TCCCGTCTTGGCCCGCGACAATGTCGACGGGGGGACACTGGGCCGACCTTGAAAGCCCCTGTCCTCTCGAGTCGCGCCTCCGCAGCCCTGGCAAGAAAGCACGGCATGCGCGGCAACGCGCTGGAAAGCTATATCATGCGCCCTGTGGCGTCGTAGCCCAGAGCCCCCCGGCTCCGGCCGCGAAACTTCGCGGGGCCCGCGGTCGAAACACTAGCCGCGGCGACCCGCCCCAGCGTCGCGACAAACATGAGCGCCCCACTTGACCTCTGGCGAGGCACGACGTCAGCCGCGGACACCTTGGGCTGAGATGGGCTTGGACGCGAAGCGCCCGAGCTCAGGCATGCAGCCCTCGACTCGCGCGGGGCACTCTAGCCTTAGCCACGACAGCACCCAATGCCTCTCGCGCGCGAAGAAAGAACGACAAGCCGGCTGAAGGAAGCGCAGAGAAGGATTTGCACAAGACGCGACAGCGCGCCCACGCACTCGTTCCACGGATGCGCGGCGCGCCCACGCACGCGCTGGAACCAGATACGCGCACATCTTGCGCGCAGCGCCTGCGCCGGTCATTTCGGGGCGCGCGAAGTAACGGGCGATGCCCCCGCCACGCGCCCACCCGACGCAAACCCGTCGACCTCCACGTCGTCGCTCACAACGCAAGCAAATAGTTTAGAGGAGAAGTGGATTGAATCAGCCAGGCAAGTGCCCAGATGGCTGCAGTATACTCACGCAGCGCGCCTGGCGCGCAGCCTACCAATGCACGGCATAGCGAAAGAGAATGCAGCGATGCAGAAAGCCCATGCGGGCTAGAATCGCACCTCTGCACGCTTGAACCCCCCTGCGGCCGTTGCATTCCTCTGTAGGATCGCGCGCGCATTGCTCTCCGATGGCTGTCAAAATAGATGAGCAACAATAAGGGGAGCACGAAAGCAAGTCTGGACTGGTTGCACTGGCCAAGGCCGCTCGATCACACTCACGGCGTCAACCAGGACCAGGAGAGGCGAGACAAGCATACCTCTGTCGCGCTCTTGCACCAGAATGATGGGAGTGGAAGAGGCAGGCCCGAAACAGTTGGGGCCACCTATGTGGCGGGGGGCATTTGGGGCCTCGGCAGAGACACATGCATTCGCAATCGGGCGCCCAGGCACGGGCACCGATGCACGCGAAGTGTCTAGCGACAAACTGGCGCGGAGTCAAGAGCCGCCGCCCTCGCGGGCACCCCAGTACCTCTGGCTGGCCTGACGAGCGACTTCTGGTCCGAAAGGCCCCAGTCACCATCCTTGCCTGGGCGCGGCGCGCCGTCGTCTCTGCGAAGACGCCACCTGGCGGCCTCGCCCGTGGCGCGGCGAAGCGATGTGGATCTGGCCCAGCCGCGAACGTCTGTCTTCCTTGTCCGTCTCGCTGATCGGCCTTGCCCAACTGCGCGGTCTCGATCATGGCCCGAACTGGCTCCTACATGTCCTCGACGCTGCTCACGCCCCGCTGCCTCTCTTCCCCCATAGAGGCGAACTGCTCGAAGAGCTGTTGCACGCTTTCCTTGAAGGGGGTCATCTGCCTGAGGAACTCCACGCCGGCACGCTGGGTCCGCGCGAGCACCGCCGAAGTCCACGCGACGTTTTCCTCGCCAGCTGCCTCCGGCGCACTTGGCCGAGGTGGGCGCTGCTGACGAGGTGCCAAAATTGGCGATGACGCCTTTCTCGCCGGCGAGTTCGCCGACGGGCCTCTGCGAGACGCAGGCGCTGACCCAGCGCGGCGAAGACGAAAGGTAGCAAGATCCTTGCAATCCACACTTCCATCCCAAGCGCCTTCCTCCATGGCATCGTGCCCCAGGCGGCGCGACGCTTGATGCCCCGCGCGCCTGCGACCTTCTTCCTCGGCCCCCAGCTGCAAGAAATACCCCGAAAGTACCGCGCGAACGAGGCCCCCTGAAGGTCGTCGGTTTGCGCGGTGATTGCTTCCACGAGAAGCTCGGACTCATTGAACTTGGACTGGGCATTGGCCAATCAACTCCGACAGCGCGCGACGAACTGCTGCTGCTTGGCGATCCTGACCGCGGCTCTTCTGAAATGCGGCATCTGGTAGGGGACCGCGCTGAATTCCTCCTGGAGACTGCTGGTCTGGCCCTTGTCCATGTTGAAGTCGACCGTGCACTTGATGCGCCTCTCGACGCTCTCCAACGCTGCCCCAAATGTCCTTCGGCACTTCCCCGGGGCCTTGGGATCCACAAATGGCTCCTTCCACCGACCGTGGCTGCGCGCAACCTGAAATACACGTTGCGAAAGGAATCGCACCGCCCTGTTCGAACACGCGATGAGCTGGTTGCTGTTCCCGCGGTCGACGAATATACCATTGACGAGTGGCCATGCGAATGGAAAAGGTCACGATGGCGACGTCCGCCTCTCACTGGTTCCTGCTCCTGCGATGCGAATCGGGCACGCACTGGACACGCGTAGAACGCGCCCAGGCGTTATGATGAGCACGAACCGGGCATTCCCACCATGCGCGGTACTGTCTCGGCTTGTGCTGCGCGTGTTTGTTCAACATTGGAGGCGGCCAGGCCAAAGTGCTTCCTCACGCGGACCTCGATACTTGAGCATGCTGTCGCTGCTATGGTCGCGCCCGACGGGCATGGCAGCTGCGGCCACTCGTACTTGCGCGCGGGCCCTGAGCCTCTCAGCACGCTGGCGCCTGTGCCACGACGCCTCCGCACGGCCTTGACCGCGCGACGCCGTCGCTGCCGCGGCGGGGCAGCGCGGCCGGCACGCCGCGGCCGCTGCGGCACCGCCAGGGGGGGCCAGCACAGATCCACGAAATCCGCGCGGAGCTCCGAAAGTTGACGTTTATGCAAAGCTTCGTTTTTTCAACCCCGGGGTCGGCGAACGCGCGCGACTGGGAGTTGGCAGTGACGGCCTGGAGCGATCGCCGAAGGCATCCTGCGAGAGCCGTTGATAATATTTGCTCACGCGCGCCGCGCGGTGCATGGCGCTCCTCGCTCGCTAGCTGGAGGGGAAGAGAAAACCCGCCCCCCTCGGGCACGCGCTGGCCGGGCCAGCACAAAGCCGGGCCGGCCAGGGCCCTGGCGCGAAGCCTGGCGCGCCGCCGAGCAGCTCCCTAACCCGGACCAACGCAGGGGGGAAAGGGAAAAAATTCCCCCACGTGGCTCCCAGACCCGGGCCAGCCAGAGGTTCTTCGGACCCCCGCAAGCGCTGGCCCGACTACAGACTTGATGCACCCCAAATTTGAACTTTGGTCGAATCCACGACCAGTAAATAGGATGTTCGCGAATCCACTAGAATTATACATATTCTCGTACATCCGAGGTCACAAAAATAGCGCGGCGCCATCTCCCGGCGCGGCGCCCGCACCGGCATAAGGCGAGAACGGACGCGGCGCGGCCAGGACAGCGCCGAGCGGGCGGCGGCGGCGGGCGACGCGACCGCCCCCGAACGCCGCCCCGCTCGGGCCCTGGCGACACTGCGACAGGCCCAGATCACCAAGTAAAACACAGGGCGGCGAGGGCGGGGGCAAGATGCCCACAGGCGGGCACGCGCGGCGATCCTGAATAATAGCAAATTAGTGACCTGCGCCGCGCACACGCCCGCGGCCGGGCGCGCGTCGTTGCGCCGCCCCCGCACGCGCGCCCCGCCTGATCCGCCTGCTCGGCATGCCCGCCTGCGACGCGCGCGCGGCGCCCAGCGCTCCCCGGGCGCGCGCCGCGCGCTGAGGCACCCGCGGTATTTCGTGGCCATCCACAACGCTTCGCTTGCAATTCCGCCACAAAAACAGCTCGGCGCCATCTCCCGGCGCGGCGCCCGCGCCCGCAGTAGGCGAGAACGGACGCGGCGCAGCCGGGCCAACGCCGAGCGGGAGGCGGCGGCGGGCGACGCGACCCGCCCCCGAACGCCGCCCAGCGCTTCGCGGCGCCCCGCCGCAACGCCCGCTCTGGCGCCCGCAGAAGGCCCTCCCCCCCCCTTGACGCGCTGCTCGCCAGGAGGGCGCCGCGGCGCGCGCCCCCCAGCCAGCGGGGCGAGCAACTTGCGCCCTCTCCGGGAGGCCCCTGCTCGCGCGCTCCCCTGGCGCACAGGCGCACTCACGGGCCGTCTCCGCTCGCATCGTCGCTGGACGATACCACGCCGCGCGCTTCGTCCACCGCGCCGCCTTCCAGCTCCTCGCGGTCAAAGTTTCGGAGGAGCGATGCTGACTTCCAACCGCCAGCCCGCAGAATCTCGGCCAAGCGGGCCCCGCGCGTCGCATGAGATCTCGCGCGCGCCCCCGTCGGAAATCGCGCGCCCGGCACCGCCGCGCATCGGGTGCCCCGAGCCTCAGGAGAGGCCCCCGAATCATTGCCAGCACTCGAGGCGGGCGAAATTGCGCGAAAGGGGCGGCATTCTCGGGGAAGTCAGCCAGGAACGATCCCAGCACGTGAACCGGGCACGTCGCCCGGCATCGCCTGGGCCCCAACCTGGCGGGCGCAAGTCTGGAAAATGACGGCCGCGAGGCCCGCTCGACAACCAACCACGGACAATTCACTAACCGACGTGTCAGGGTGAGGGCTCCTTCCACCCCCAATCCCCCCCCGTCCCCCAAATCCCAATTTCGTTCGACCCGAGAGAGGGTGGGGACGAGGAGGGCCCAGACATCTGCCGACACCATTGCTTCCACCCGCGGCCCCAGGACTCCAAGACCCCGTCCCCGGGGGCAGCTTCTCGCCCCGGACCCATCGATGGATGGCCCTCGGATAAAAATCTCGTCGGAAATCCGGGGAGTGAGAGGGCACGAGGAGAACGAGGAGGACGTGCACCAGGAAGAACTCCGAGCACCCAGAAGATGATCGAAACATTGTCTGCCTGACACGCTGGCGAACGAGCATCGACTCCCAGGGCCCGACACGTGAAAACCCTCCGATTCTGACACAGGCGAAAGGAAATTGGAACATCGTTAGATTTGGCGAGGACGAGGACGGCGACGACGACGACGTCGCGGCGAACGGAAGCGCCACCGACCGTGGCGAAGCTCACCTTGTCGGTCTCTACGCCGGACTGCGGGGGCGGCGGGGGGCACCGTAGAGGGCCGCGGGGGCTCGCTCCTCCCCTGACCATCTCAACGCCAGGTGGCCTCCAGCCGAGAGATTGCCCCCTCCTCCTCCTCCTCCTCCTCC